TTCTCAGTCTCCCATGTGGATGCAGGGGCCAAGCACTTGGGCCATCTTCTGCTGCCTTCCCAGGCCACAGCAGAGAGCTGGATTGGAAGTGGAGCAGCCAGGACTCGAACCAGCATCCGGGTCTCGAACCAGCATCCACATGGGATGCTGGCGTCACAGGCGGCGGCTTTACCCTCTAACGCCACAGCGCCGACCCCTCAACTCTGTTTTGAGCTGTTTTGGAGGAAGTTCCATCCAATGCTGATCAAACAAATTGCTACTTCCCCCAATAGACCCCAGACAGGCTGGACCCCACTCTGCCATCCCAGCATCTTCATAAGGACACACCGGCCTCCTGCCACTGACCAATCAAAGGCAGGCCATGCACACTGCAGACCAACCAGAGGCCCGCACATGAGCTGACCACGCACGGCTCCACCCCCACTTAATGACTCACTGCCTCTGATCCCTCAGGGAGCCTGGGAATCCACAGCTGCCTGACACCTTGCTCCGTGCATAGCAAGCAAACTTTGACTTGCTTCCCCAGCTGTCAGTGATGGCTTGCTGGGTGTTGAGTGCCTGGGCCCAGTTTCGGGGAGCTCTGTAGCAATTATCCCAGCCAGTCTTGGGGTCTTCTGTTACAGTTTCACTCTCTGGGAAGGATCCAAGGTGTTGCACTTAAGGTTTGAAATGAAGTCAGGGGGCCGGCACTGTGGCATAATGGGTAAAGCCACCACCTGCAGTGCTGGCATCCCATATGGGCACTGGTTCGAGTCCTGGCTGCTCCACTTCTAATCCAGCTCCTGCTATGGCCTGGGAAAGCAGTAGAAGATGGCCCAAGTCCTTGGGCCCCTGTATCCATGTGGGAGACCTGGAAGAAGCTCCTGGCTCCTGGCTTCGGTGGGTGCTGCTTCAGCCATTGTGGGCAACTGGGGAGTGACAGTGGATGGAAAAACCTCTCTCTGCCTCTCCTCTCTCTGTGTAACTCTTTCAAATAAATAAATCAATCTTAAAAAAAAAATAGAAATGAAGTCAGCCCAGGCGCACCTGAGAAGCCCAGGCTACTTTTCCAGGAGTGCAGCTCACAGCCCCAGAGATGTGCTACTCTAGGCTGTCCCTGCCAGGCCTGCTCCTGCCACTTCTGAAGGGAACTTGCCCAGTGCGGGGGTGGGGGGAGAGGCAGTGCGGGGCAGTGGTCAGAGCACCTGTGGCCCAATCCCGCCCCATCACTGGCTGGCTGGGTCCCAGCAGGGGAGTCCCTCCCGGGCCCAGGAGCAGTTCTCCCAGTGTACATCGGAGGTGACAAGACTGCAAAGGGGAGGGACTAGTGGCACCCACCTCACAGGGTTTGCAGGTGGCTTAGGGGAAGGTATTTAAATAAAGGGTTTGGGCCAGCACGTGGCAGAGGGAACCCTCGGTACCGTAACCAAGAGCACCATAACCTGGAGTCTGGCAGCTGCAGGTCTGCTCTGGCTCTGAGCCTCAGCTGTGGCAACACCAAACCAGAGCTCCTGGCTTGTGCGTGGCTTGGCCAATGCCTGCAATTGGTTTCCTCCTTCAACCAACACTCATGTTGTGCTGTGCCATGAGCCCAAGGTCCCAACTTCTAGTCCAGGGAGATAGACAACAAACATGGGCACACCCAGGCAGGGTAATGTCAGATCATGCCAGGTCTGTGCAGAAAACCACACGGGGTACTACAGGGATTCTCTCTGGGAGGGTGGGGGGTGATATTTGAACTGATGGCCAAGCGACAAGCCATGGAGATGTGGGAAGGGGGCACTCCCTCCCCGGGGAGGCCCCTCCCCCTTAGTACGTGAGACTTTGTAGGCAGCACTGTCATCACAGTTAATCATGACGATCACTTGAGCCCCGGGGCGAGACAGAGCTCTAGGTCTGTGCCGTGGTGATTGCGATCTCACGCCTCAGAGGCATTTCCCCAGCTGGGCTGCAGCTCCTGGTCAGCATATCTCCCTGAGTGTGACTGCAGATGCCCCGCGTGTGCCCAACAGCTCGTTTTTCATGGGGATTTTATGTCCAGGCGATAAATGACTGCTTCAACCGGCAATATTTTAAAGCTATGCCTCCCCAGATCACGTCCAGCCCAGAACTCTGGAGTGCAGCCGGCACAAATGACCGTCTTCCCTGGCCCCCTAATTTATCAGTGCGTGGCCACCGGCCCCCTACACGGTGCAGGGCTTGTGGCTTCTGAGAGTACAGGCGAGCCCACCGACCAGCCCGACCCGGGGCCGCAGACGGAAGGAATGAAACAGACTCCACAAATGGGAATTCGTCCTCCAGAATCCACTGGAACCCCGTCTAGTGCTGGTCCTCCCGCTGGGGCACCACCCTCCGAGGATTCTGGGAGAAACATCATCACTGTGGCAAGGCCCAGCAGTGGTGTTCATGCCGGGGCTGGGGAGCAGGTGACAGGCAGCTTGTCCAACCCCACGCGGGTCTCAGCTGAACCCAGGGCCAGGCTGGGATTAGCAGGTGGCTGGGGAGGTGCTGAGAGGAGAGTGTTTGTGCCCCCAACTCCCAGCTTCTGAGCCCCTGGGCTCCCTCAGTGATCTCGCCTGGAATCTCCCCTCCTGTGGCTCAATACCAGTTGAGCTTCTGTCTCTTCTGATTGAAAATCTTCCCAGGATGCTCCGTTCACATGCAGGTGCGGCTCATGGCTGGGGCCCTTAGACAGGGACTGGAGCAGTGTCTGATGGCTCAGAGGCTCAGTGTCCCCTGCCTAGATTGGTTCCTCGACAGAAGCCAAGTTACCTGCCCGGAAGCCCAGGGCCCAGCTCAGAGCCAGCTGCCATGGAGCCCATGAAGATGCTGGACGCCTCCACCTGCCCAAGGCTCTGTGAGATGACAGTGGCGTCTCCTCCTCCGGAGCTCACAATGCTGGGGATAGAGGGGTGACCTCAAGGTTGAGAGTGGACGAGAGAGTAGAGAAAGGGAGAGAGAGAGGGAGGGTAGGTAAGAAAAGGGGGAGGGGGCAACCCAGCGTGGGTACCGCCCAGTCAGAGGCCTTTTGGGAGGTGCTGGTGAGTTTTATGTGTCAACTTGCCTGGGCCACAAGGTTCTGTTATTGGATCCAATGATATTTCTGGGTGTGTGTGCAGGCGCTTTGGGATGGCCTTGGCATTGACGTTGGAGTTGCTGGACTGAGTGAAGGAGATGGCCCTCCTCCATGCCTCGGGCATCACCTAATCCACTGGGTGCCTGAACAGAACAAAAGGGTGCAGCTGGGCCTCCCGATGGCCTTGGACTGGACCTACCCCAGGGTGTCTACCCCAGGGTGTCCCGCCTCCGGCTTGCCCACGGCAGATCCTGGGACTTCCCAGCCTCCACAATTGCACGCACCAGCTCTTCATCCTCACAGTCCATTCTTTTTTTTAAATATTTATTTGAAAGGCAGAGTTAACAGAGAGGCAGAGGCAGAGAGAGAGAGAGAGAGAGAGAGAGAGAGAGAGGTCTCCCATCCAATGGTTCACTTCCCCAGACAGCTGGAGCTGCGCTGATCTGAAACCAGAAGCCAGGAGCTTCTTCCAGGTCTCCCACGTGGGTGCAGGGGCCCAAGCACTTGGGCCATCCTCCACTGCTTTCCCAGGCCATAGCAGAGAGCTGGATCAGAAGTGGAGCAGCCGGGACTCAAACTGGCGCCATATGGGATGCTGGCACTGCAGACAGCAGCTCTACCTGCTACGCCACAGCGCCGGCCCCCATTGTCAATCCTTGGAGCTGGTTTGCTTCACAGCATGACCCTGATACACACACCCTCGACCCACTGTGGAGCGGCCCCTGGGAGTTACACTGTCCTGGGACCACTTTTCTTCCCTCACAGAGCTGATCGCTAGCAACAAGGAGAGTTTTGCTTCCTTGGTTGTGTTCTGTCTGTCAGAATAAAAGGCTCAGGGGACCGGTGCTGTGGTACAGTGACCTGCAGGGCCAGCATCCCTTCTGGGTGCTGATTTAAGTCTTGGCTGCTCCACTTCTGCTCCAGCTCCCTGTTGATGATCCTGGAAAGCAGGGGAAGACGGCCCAGGTGCTTGGGCCCTGGCAACCACGTAGGAGACCCAGAAGAAGCGCCAGGATCCTGGCTTCAGCCTGGCCCAGATCTAGTCATTGCAGCCATTTGGGGAGTGATCAGAGGACGGAAGATCTCTCCCCTATCTCTTCTTCTCTCTTTCTTGTAACTCTTTCACATAAATAAATATTAAAAAAAAAAAGAATAAAAGTCTCAGGAAGGCAGGAACCCCATCTTTCTGTTTTGATCCACATCCAAGGAGCCTTGATGCGTACCTGGCGCTTAGCAAGCCCTGGATAATGATTTATAGAAATGGATATTTATGGGGGAGAGCAAGGGAGCAAGGAAACCTTTGGGGGCTGCTCCAAAGGTTTCTTTATTACAAGAAATAAAGGAGTGGTTCCCTAGTCTCTCAGGAGCTTCTCAGGAGCCCCTTGTCCTGGTCTCAGCCCAGCCTGGTTCCAGCGCCGCCAACCCAAGTCACCTTGCACGGAACTCGCTGGCACGTGACTTGTGTGTTTCACGTTGTCCTGAGCCAGGGTGCTGCCCTCCACATCCCGGGAAGCCGGGGAGGGAGGACTTGCAGAGACCAAGTCTCAGCTGCTTGTGGGGCTCTGGGGGAGCACCTGCTTGGTCCAGGGCACCCTGCTTGTGGGAATCCCGGGCTCCAGGAAAGTTCACCCCAAGTCCTGGAGCTGATGCGTCTGGAATTGGAGTAGGAAGCTCAGAGCATCTCCTCTGTGAGGAGGGGCTCAGGAGAAGGTGGGTGCAAGGGACCCCCCCACGCGCGCCATGCTCCAGAGGGAACCCCTTCCTCTGCGGGGCCACCTCTTAGGACGGGGCCGGGGTTGGCTGACCCCAATGGGAGGTTCCCACCCGCTTCCCAAAATGCAGCGGCACACACTCTCCGGCCAGCTCTCGGCTCTGTCTTTGGCGCCCTTTGAGCCAAGCCTGGTTTTTTGTCCGTTCAGCCGCTACACAGAACACGACACGGAGCGACTATTAAACACGTTTATTCCCCTCAGCTCTGGAGGCTGGGAGCCTGCAATCAGCGGACCAGCACGGCTGGGGCCTGGTCAGGGCCCGTTTCCTGGTTCATGGACGGCTGGTTTCTCACTGTCCCCTCCCACGGTAGGAGGGACAAAGAGATTCTCCAGGGCTTCCTCCGGTGAGAGGAGGGTCCCTCGCTCACGACCCCGCACCTCCCAGGGGCGTAACCTCTGAACTCTGTCACACTGGCGCTGAAGTTCCAACAGGGGCGTGTGGCGGGACGCAGACACCTGCCTGGGCGCTCACCCATCCCCACGGTGGCCTCCCAAGCCGGCCGGGCCTGCGCTAGCAGAGTTTCTCTCACGGAGAGTGATCTGAACTTGAGTCCCTACCGCCCAAGCCCCTGTCTCTTGGGAGGAGGACCCAGGGCAGAGAAAGGACCAGGGCAGAGAAAGGACAGCACGAAGTCATCTTGGCGCCCCAGGCCGCCAGTCTGCAGAGCTCCGTGGGAGGCTCCTAGCTGACTCGGTCTCCCCAGCCCCCACTCCCCAGCCCCCACTCCTCTTGGGAGCCAGGCTCTGCTCCACGGTGACCCCCACGGCCCCTCCCAGGCTCCTCCACTCTGCTGCTTCTGAACTCTGACATGGACGATGGCCCCGGGGCGACCCAGAGTCCTTGCCAGAGAGACGCTCCGCTCTGGTCCCCGGCGGCGGCCGAGGCTTTCCGTGTTCAGCAGGTGCCGGCCGGCGGGGGCGGTGCGGGAGGCGGCTCAGTCGTCCTCGTCCTCATCTTCGTCCTCTGTGTCTTTGCTGGGCGCACACCTCTGGAAGCACTGCACCACGGTGGCCAGGAAGAAGCTGGAGATGATGGCGGCGATGGAGACGGCCACGCCCGAGAAGATGATGATGAACAGGTCCGTGAGCGACAGGCTGAACCTGCACTCGCTGAAGCTGGCCTCCGACAGCTCGTGCAGCGAGACCCTGCGGTTCTCCACGGGCAGGGAGCACTGGATGGCGTCGAGGCCTGTGGGAAGGCAGGTGGGACGGCAGAGACGGTTAGGCCGTGGCCCCGGGGCAGAGCCAGCGAAGGGGGAGCAGCCCCCAAAGTAAAAGGCGAGGACAGCTGGATGGAGTGCAAGGCCACGTTTGTTCACAAAGCACAGAATTATCAGCATGGGAACAGTCAGGGCGTGCCCCGACCTGAGTTCAGGCCTGGGGCTTGTGACTGTGGTGGGCTTGGGGCTGGGGGGCAGCACATTTTGGGGGTTCAGACCCAAACCTGGGTTATAAGCAGCCGTGGCAGTGCCAGCCAGAGGCTGCTCCCTCCAGCTGGCCGTGCCCTTCCCCCTGTCACATGCCGTCCTCCTCTGTGCCGGCTTCACAGCAGAAATGAGCAGCGGCACCCGCAGCACCCTGGAAGCAGTGCGCCAGGGAAGGCTGCGCTGAAGGAGGCCTCCAACGGCACCTGCTCCTGGGAAGCTGGGGGGGGGGGCTCCAGGTGCGTAAGGGTCACCTACAGGCTTTGTCCAAATGCAGGGGCCCAGGCACCACCCAGAGCCTCAGCTTCTGCAGGTCTGGGGCAGGGGCCCTGACCCTGAAGTTTTAATTTAATTTTTTTCATTTTACTTGAAAGGCAGAGAGACAGTGAAAGACACAGAGAGATCTTCTGTCTGCTGGTTCATTCCCCAAATGCCCACAACAGCCAGGGCTGGGCCAGGCCACAGCTAGGAAGCCAGAAGTCCATGCAGGTCTCCCACGTGGGTGGCGGGGACCCAGGACGTGAGCCACCACTGCTGCCTCCTTGGCTGTGGATCTGCAGGAAGCTGGGTCAGAAACTGAGTGGCTGGGACTTGCGACGCGGATGCAAACGTCCCAAGTGGCCACTTAAGCTGCCCTGCCCAGCACCGGCCTCCTCTGCCGTTTTCGTCACCGGGTGATTCTGATGCCACGCCCATCGAGCAGCAGTGTTTTGTCACTGTCTGAGCACAGCCTGAGAGCCCTGGGACACTCCCCGTCCCGTGTCCAGACAAGCCCACTGACTATTTCACACACACGAGTTGCCATCACGATTTTACTTCAAGAGTGTTTGACTTAAGGACGAGTGTCCCACCCTCCAGTCTAGCAAAACACCCACAGCCGAGCGGGCGCTAAGAGCTGTATGAAACAGCGGCTGTGGACACAGCTGGGCCAGGCGCTGTTTCAGCACTTGACACAGATGCACGCTCGGAAGCCTACAGCAACTCCCTGGGGCCCCTCGAGCGTCCCATCCCAGTGCAGCAGGTAGAGGACCGGGCTCAGAGAGGTGAAGCAACTTGCCCAAAGCTGCAGAGCGCGCAAGCAGCCAAGCCAGCAGTGTGGCTCCAGAGACCTCGCCCATGGCCGCTGTGTCCCTGAATGGAGGAGAGTGGGGGAAGGCTGTTGGGGTGCGGGGGATGGGACACAGGAAGCTGATGCGTTCTTCCCATGGCTGCCTTCACGTGGGAGGGGCAGAAGCTGCCAGTCACCTGGCTCCTAGGGCACTGTTTGTAACAACCTAGAGACGCCTCCTGCTGGCTGTTCCCTAACCTGCGAGCTGCTTTTCTGGGGGGGACCCCATCTGGCATCAAGTGAAGTGGGGAGTGGCTCTCAGAAGCCCAGGGGGGTCAACACTATACCCTCTGATTACTTACGTGAGCCCCAAGGGAGGGTTGCCTGAAACGTGAGCAACTGAGCACTGTGTACCCTCATTTATGCACTCAACAAACACGCACTGAGTACTTCGCCTATGCCAAGTCACTGATGGTCAACAGAGCGAAGAGGGCCCCTGCCCCCAGAGAGTGAGTCCCAGTGGGAGGAGACAGACACCTGCTCATCTATTCAACAAGTTCTCTTTGAGTGTTTACTATGTAGTGGGCTCTGGGGACACAGCCCTCACACAGCACTGCAGGTGCTTTTACATCAGGAAACACACAAAACGAGTCACGAAAGCTCGGTGGGCGGAAAGACGATGAGCGTCTGGGACAATGGCGAGTGAGGGTGGCGTCATCACTAAGCTCTAAAGGCCGCGGGAGAACTTCCCGGGCAGACAAGAAGGTGGGCATTCGGGGAGCACCGTGTGGCCAAGGAGCAGCAGCGGGGGCAACAAGGAGGACTTAGCATGACAGCAGCAGCGGCTGCCAGTCCCAGCCCACTCAGGACCGGCGCACACTGTTCTGAGCATTGCACGCAAGGTAACTGTCACTTCCCGCGGCACCCTGCCGAGCTAGGTGCTGCTATGATGCCCATCTTCCAGCTAAGGAAACCCAAGCCCAGCAAATCCACACAGCGCGCCTTTGACGGCGCAGCCTCGTGGTGGCGGAGCTAGGACTTGAACCCGGGCTTCTGGCTCTGGGGTCCGACGCTCGCTCTTTGGGTGCAAGGGTCCCCAAGCTCAGCTGTCTCCGTGGTGGCTTACTTCCCGCTTCCTTTGCGACTCTGAGCGAGACCTGCACTTGCTCTCTCTGCCGGTGCTTCCCGGTGTCGGGAGCTGACCCTCAGTCCATTTCCAGCTCATCTGGGAGTCAGGGCGCCTTCTGCACACCTCACTAATCAGCTGCCTTTCATGCGGCCAAGAGCAGCGTTTCCTTATTTTACATCTTTCCTTCCCCGGCTCCGAAACAGAAGATGGAGGAACAGCGTCCCATCTTCCTCCTTCCTTCTGGCCTGGCCCCTTTGGGGTGGTCCGCAGCCCACCCACCATGCTCTCCTCGCCATGGGAACTGTTGCCTAGCAACCAGGCCCCAGCTCCTTGCTGTCCCTGAATCTGAGCCTGCTTTAAAGACCCAAGGGGTGGGGGCCGGCGCTGTGGCGTAGCAGGTAAAGCGGCTGCCTGCAGTGCCCGCATCCCATGTGGGCGCCAGTTTGAGTCCCGGCTGCTCCACTTCCAGTCCAGCTCTCTGCTATGGCCTGGGAAAGCAGTGGAAGATGACCCAAGTCCTTGGGCCCCTGCACCCATGTGGGAGACCTGGAAGAAGCTCCTGGCTCCTGGCTTCGGACTGGTGCAGCTTTGGCTGTTGCGGCCAACTGGGGAGTGAACCAGCGGATGGAAGACCTCTCTCTGCCTCTCCTTCTCTGTGTGTAACTGTGACTTTCAAGCAAACTAAATAAATCTTAAAAAAAAAAAAAAAAAAGACCCAAGGGGTGAGCTGGACCTGAGGTCTGCACGCCTCAACAGCTTACACTTGGCTACAGCTTTTGACTGTTCCTCTCTTTCTAAAAATGATGTTTATTTATTTCAAAGGCAGAGAGAGAGAGAGAGATTTTGCATCCACTGGTTCACTCTCCAAATGTCTGCAGCAGCCAGAGCCGGGCCAGGCCAAAGCCAGGATCCAAGAACTCCATCCTGGTCTCCCACTTGGGTGCAGGGGCCCAAGCACTCAGGCCATCTTCCACTGCTTTCCCAGGTGCATTAGCAGAGAGCTGGATCGGAAGTGGAGCAGCCGGGACTCGAGCCAGAGGCTTAACCCCTGCACCACAGTGCTGGCCCCGATCTCTTATTTGTAAGAGGCCAAGCGTGTGGCTACTTCGGGACGCGAATAAGGCCGGAGGGCTGTGAGGCAGCATGAGGCTGAGAGTCTTACGGCCTCCGATTTCGTCCATGGAAAAGTGGAAAAAATCAACGCAGCTGCCTCCTTGTCCCATCCTACCTCGGGCAAAGATGTCACGAGAACAAGTGATAACGGGGCTGCGTGAAGCCAGGCAGCGCAGCGAAGCCGAGATCACGCACAACCTTCAAACTCCTCCCACACCGCTGTGTGGCCAGACGCTTCCCGGGAATCTGTCTTCCGTGAGCGGCGCCAACAAGAACAACCCCAGCATGGCCACACAGCCCAGGCCGCTCACCGCCCCACCTCCCCCGGCCGCCGCCGCGAATCCAGTCAATTCCGGTTTTCCTGACGTTCTTTGTGCCTGGAGATTGGACTGGCGCTTGTACAAAGTGACAGTTTCGGGGGACGTCAGCTCACGTTGCTGACTGAATGGATGCTCGTAGCTCACAAAGGCAGAGAAATGAGATGAGATGGACAGAGAGTGGGCCAGGCAGGAGCGGGGAGGACCGGCCAACGGAGGGGGGCGTGGCCACCGCAGGGACCTGAACAAGATACCGATTGTGGAACTGAAGTTGGGGTCCCTGACTTTGGGGCCCCTTCTCTCCTGCAAGACCTTACTTGGGGTTTCTTAACTTCGGCACAGCTGACATGTGGAGCAGCGTGACTGTCTGATTTGGGGGGGGGTGGTCCTGTGCGCCCTGAGATGTTTATCAGCCTCCCCGCCTTCTGCGCACTGGATGCCGGCACCACCCCCGCTCACCGAGTGCGACCATCAATCACCTCCCCTGGCATTCCCAAATGTCCCCTGGGCGGGAACCATGGCTCTCAACAGGAGTGCCTGCTAAGTAGGTGGCTGCTACACTCATTTCCCATCTCCCCAGAATCGCTGTGTGGAAGCCCTCACTCCCAATGCGATGGACCGTGAGAAGTATGGGGGCTGCGTGAAGTTATAAGGGTGGGGCTTCTTGGACAGTACTGGGGTTCCTGTAGGAAGAGGCCAGAGAGACCTGCCCCCTCTCTCCCTGCTGTGCAGGGGGGACAGCAGGAAGGCGGCTGCCAGCAAGCCAGGAAGGGAGCCCTCACCGGGACCCAGCCGCGCAGGTGCCCTGACTGCAGTTGAACTTGAACTTCAGAACTGCAGAGGGACATACATGCTGTGCAAGCCGCCTGCCTAAGGCAGGCTGAGCTGACTAAGACGGTAACCCTCAGGGAGGGCACTTGGTGGTGTGGTTAAGACGCCACGGGGGACATGGGCACCTCATTGTCAGCCGCCTGGCTCTGGGTACTGGTCCTACCCTGAATTCCAGCTCCTAGCTAGTGTGCACCCTGGGAGGCAGCAGGTGATGACCCAAGTACTTGGGTCCCTGCCACCTACATGGGGGACCCAGATGGAGTTCCAAGCTCCTGGTTTTGACCTGGTCCAGGCCTGGCTGTTGCCGGCAGCAGGGTGTGAACCACT